GTGTGTGTGTGTGTGTGTGTGTGTGTCCGTGTGTGTGTGTATGTGAACGCCGAGAAATAAGCATTTAAATGAAATAAAATGTTGACTGTTCATGAACGATGGCTAATTTATTGGATAGCTTAAACAGGCAATAAAAAATTTAGAAAAAATAAAAATTAAATTCAAAAATTTATATATATGCCTTTTTGGTAGCATAAATCAACAAAAAAAAAACCTAACCTGCTAATTAAAAATAATAGAATTATATGTATGCAAATAAAAAAAAAAAAAAAGAGAGAGAAAAAAGGAAATAGAAGGTTTAAAAAACCAATGGAAATTTTAGGAACTATTATCATGAAAAAAAAAATGTATGACAACAGTGTTGGCAACACATTTGTTCATTATTGTTCACATAAGAAGCGGCTAACAAACGCTCTTTGATTCTTCTATTCCTAAAAAAGAGCAGAAGAACTAGCAATGAAAATATATTTAATTTGTTTAATTTTCTTTTTTTTTAGCTGATATCAACAACCGAAACTATGTGTCCAGTCTGGGCAGATATGATCGAAAACAGCACAGAAGTTCCGTGAGTTTTTTGTTTACTTTTTGCCTTCCTCGTTGCCACTTTTCAATTGTCAGCCAGTTGACCATCAAATTTTAAAATTGATTTGTCTAATCTTGTCATATTTTTTTCTCTTCTTTTTTTTTTTTTACTTTTTCATTACTCTATTTTTGACTTGCTTTTTCTTTGCCTATATAATGACATTAATTGTAGGGTCGGCCTGCTAAAGGAACACAATCAGCGTATGTTTCTGAAGAAAGTGACACATCATATGAGGCAGTTAAGCATAGTGCTCATGCACATCGTGGCAACATTAAACGTATTTTACTCACACGCCGATATCGAGACTCCAACGTTTATAATGGTGCAATAAATTTTTTCAAAAATTCATTTATGCTAAGCATATTATAGTGTAATGAGCTCTAGAGTGAAACCAATTTGTGTAGTGTTGTTTTTTGTTTAAATGCCATTTTCTTTCTTTTATTTTTGCACTTCTTTGCTTTTAATTGATTTGAAATAGATATACAAGAAGATAAGTTGAATTACTGCTATTAAAAAATTTACAGTTTTTACCTGTTTTAAACTTACCGTCACCTGTATATATGTAGTATCAAATGCAGATGTAAGTACATCTGCCTTGTTTTATAGATTTGGGTATACGAATAACGGGTGGCAAGAAGCTCCATAACGGTGACTTAGGGGCCTTCGTATCAGCGGTGAACAAAGAGAAAGCCTGTGAAACTCTTGGGGAATTAAAAGAAGGTTGTCGACCTTCCTCTTCTTTTTGGCATTATTTTTACAGATAATATTTATCGTGCTTCATATAGTTTATCAGAACTAATATGCATACTAACCTTTGGAGAGAATAGTAGTGTGGCTGAACAAATTTTTTTTCTAATTTCTACAAACTATTTATGATACATTTTATTAATTAGCAAATTTAATCTTTCAAATAATTTTTCTCATAATTTCCTGTTATCATTTATTGTGTTATAATTTTTCTTATAAAAAAAATTTTATTTTAATTTAGGAGATCAAGTGCTTGAATGGAACGGGGTTATTTTGACTGGCAAAACGTTTGAAGAGGTTGAAAGAATAATTAGCGGTAGTCAAGGAGAAATTGAATTGGTTGTTAAAAGGTATGTCATTATTGATGATTCCGGAAAAAAAAAATGGATGATGTAAACAGCAATTCAGACTAACATCTAACGTCTGAATTTGGTTTTTTAAAAACATTATAACGTTTATGAATATAAAGTTTTGCATCATTCTAGCGGGGGTAAAGAATATATGAACAGCAATGAGAAAAAACCAAAATTGAGAACCATTAACAGCAATACTTATGAACCAACAAACAGAAAGAAACGGTCAAAGCAGGAAAGGATTAGTGGTATGTCAACTGCCTGAATAATCTGCGGAATTTCTTTTCAAACTTTTTAAAAAGTTTTATTAATATTTCACAATAAAAATTTTTTGGCATTATATTTTCTTACACATTAACGTTTGATCATCGTTTCGTTCACTATATAAGCAACTGTCCAAATTTAGTAATTAAACATATCTTAAAAAGTACTTAATTTGCTTAATAGAATTTTAAGTTTTTTAAAGTATTTAACCGACAAGTGTTCAAAAACTGGTTGTTTTAATCGACATTCAAATTACAAAAACAATTATAAATGTTTTAGAAGAAATAAATGGATATCTTCGCGAAGCACCACCGATTCCGGCACATCGTTGCGTGGACGGTCGTGCATCACCTTCTTTTGATATGTATCCATCGTTGAGTATCCTTTCTGAACCGCTTCCTGCTAAACCAGTGACTAAAACTTACCGGTCAAGTGGTTCTGATGTAAGTTTTAAGATAACTTTCAAACCTGAATCAAGTAAAATTATTATGGCAAAAGTTTATTTATTAATTTTTCTACTAAATCTTTGCTCTTTATCTGTTTATTGTTTATTTGCTAATTTTCTTTAGATTTATCAAGCTTATTACTTGAAATTTTAGCCACACTCGTTGGGCTACATCAATATTGCTGTTTCCTATGACTACCGGTCTTCAGCACTTCGCGTAACGGTATTATCGGCACGTGGTCTTTCTTATAGGCAGCACAGTAGCAAAACATTTTATCCAAACCCATTTGTTAAAATATATTTATTGCCTGGTCGAGAGTAAGCCTTTGTTTTATTCACATTATTATAATGAGGCTATTGAATCAT